CCAAGAGAGTGAGGACCACATTAACTGGCTCTTTTTGCTTAATTTATTTTTAAAATTCTGAACTTAAAAAAGAGAGCTTTCTCATACATACAGCAGAACACAAAAAAAGGATTATATATAATACAATGAATTTCCATTTCACACAGTTTGCTTTTTTTAAGTATATGATAATTCCACTTGTAACTTTCAAAACTATCCTGCTTCTCTGTTTCCTTCTGAACTTCCTTCTCCTCTATGCATTAAAAAAAATCTCAAATTGTTTTTTCAGCATTAATATTATTAACCTTCCATCCATAATCTCTCCCACAACATAAAAAAAATCCTTGTAAAAAATAAGCATCGTTGAGCACAAAGAATCCACAAAGTATTCAAATCTAAAAACAGGTACCTCTTTCTGTACCATGAGTCCATCCACAGATAACATGAATCATCATAGATCCTCTGAAGACAGTAATTGCATTGATCAGAGTTCTTAAACTTTCAAAGTTGTTTTTCTTTGTAATGTTGCTGTCCTTGTATAAATTATTCTTCTGGTTCTGCTCACTTCACTTTGCATCAGTTCATACAGTTCTTCCCAGATTTCGTAGTATTTATTAAGGTACATAGGTAAGTGTAAAGTCAGGAATTCCCCCACCTAGGGAATCCTGCATCTCCCTCCCAAATAGTGGGACAAGTTCAATACCAAAGGAAGAGGCCAAGGAGCTCCAGACTGATTATAGGTAGTGGTTTAATCAAATGGGTTATTTACATTGGGGGGCCAGTATGAAAGAGTTCAAATAATCAGCAGTATGGGGCAGCAGCCAGACTAGTGGTAGATACCCACATGAGAACCCCCAGAATCTCCATGGTAAGTATAGAAAATAGACAAAGGCTCTATGGAAGTGTTTTGCAGAACTGCACGTGTATGGCCTGTATTGACTTGCTTGCCTTTTCAATAAGGGTGGGTGGGGTGGGAGGAAGGGAGAAAATTTGGAACCCAAAGTTTTAAAAACACATGTTTAAAAAAAGTGTTTCCACATGCAACTGGGAAATAAGAAATACAGGAAATGAGGCACAGAAATCTATCCTGCCCTACAGAAAAATAGAAGGGGAAGGGGATAAGAGAAGGGGGGGAGAGATAGAAGGGAGGGCAGGCTAGGGGAAGGGGTATTCAGAATGCATGCCATCTTGGGTGGGGGAGGGGCGAGATGGGGTGAAAATTTGGAATTCAAAATCTTGTGGAAGTAAATGTTGAAAACTAAGAATAAATAAATTTATATTTAAAAAAAAGAAAATAGACAAAGGGAGGAGGAGCTAGGTCACTACTGGTTGGTGGATATTTTTGGTTTTCTGCTTAGTAATCAGCTTGGGCATTCAGTCAATGTCATGCCCAAACATAAGTTTGTGTATTGATCGTGTACCAGTCACACATATGGGTCACAATGTTCTTGTTATCACTTTCATAGGTCATAGTATCTAAGTTTTGACTTAGTATCTAAGTTATGATTTTTAACAGGTCTCCATGCTTGGGCTTCCACCTTTCACAGAGTTTAAGTTTTTATGGCTTTTCTCTTATTACTGTATTTTATGGCTTTTCCCCAATCAGGACCCCTACAGCAAGATTAATTACTTTCTCCTTTAAGCTATTAATTCTTCTTCCAGTTCTTTCCTCACAAGTTTTTTATTGCATTTGTTAATCTCTTCCTTCATTTTTTTATCCTTATGGAAAATCTGTAGTTGTTGTAGAGATATTTATTACTTTTGAGGGGATATCTCTAGACCTATAATAATTTTTCAAACTGATCAATATCTTCTTTGGCTTACTTATCTCTCCCTGAATTATGGCTTTGTTCCTCAATCAGGCTCAGGTGGAATAATTGGCCCAGCTGGATCTTGCCCACCTTTGCCCCACTTTCCCTAGATTCCTGAATTGATCTAAACCTCCCAGAGTTAGGCCCCCCTGGATCTTTGAGATTTGAAGTGACGAGATTCTACAGGATCATCTATGATAACTAAAGACAGTGACAGGACTTGAAAGCCCCTGGGCTCCTGAGCCATCTCATTCTTAGGTTTAACCACTTATTTCCTTTGTTGCTGTGTTCACTGAGATTTCCTGGGGATTTCTTTTTTTTCTTAATTGATATATTTTCTTTTTCCATTCTTTCCTAGTGTTTTTAACAAGAATAGGCATTGTATTTTGTCAAAAGCCTTTTCTACATCTATTGAAATAATCACATTATTTTTGTTGTTTTTGTTCTTAATATAGTCATTTCTGCTTATGGTTTTCCTAATATTGAACCAACACTGCATTCCAGGTATAAATCCAATCTGGTCAGAGTGTATGATTCTTGTGATATATTGCTGTAATTTCCTTCCTACCATTTGCTTTAAAAATTTTTGCATCAATTCATTAGGGAAATTAGTCTATAGTTTTCTTTCTCTGTTTTGATTCTTCCTGGTTTAGGTATCAAGACCATATTTGTGTTTTAGAAGGAATTTGATAGGATAGCTTCTTTATTTGGTTTTTTTTTAACAGTTTATGTAATATTGGAATTGATTGTTCTTAAGATGTTTGGTAGAATTCACTTGTAAATCCATCTGGTCTTAGGTTTTTTTCTTTGGGAGTTAATTTATGACTTATTCAATTTCTTTTTCTAAGATAGGGTTATATAAGTGTTTTATTTTTATTTTTATTAACATCAGTGTTTATGTTAATCTAGGCAATTTATGTTTTTGTAAATATTCATCCATTTCACTTAGATCATCAGTTATACTGGCATATAGTTGAGCAAAATAGCTCCTAATAATTGTTTTTATTTCTTTCTCATTAGTTGAGAATTCATTTTTTATTCTGAACTTTGATTTTCTTCTTTCTTCTTTAAAATCAAATTAGCTAATGGCCTATCTATGTTACTATTGTTGTTTAAAAAAAACAGTCCTGAATTTTTTTACATTCAATTTTGTTATCCTCTGCTTTGATTTTTGAGGATTTCTATTTTTGGTATTTAATTGGAGTTTTTTAATTGCTTAATTTTCTTTTTCTTTTTTTAAGTTGCATGTTAATCTGCTTTCTCTCTCTTATTGATATAAGAATTTAGAGTTATCAGTTTTCCCCTAAGTATTGCTTTGGCTGTGTCCCACAACTTTAGGAATATTTTCTCATTTTTTAAATTACTGTTAATGAAATCATTGTTTCTATGATTTATTCTTTGACCTGCCCATTCTCTAGAATTAAATTAGTTTCCAAATAATTTTTAATCTATGTCCCAAAGACCCTTTATTAAATTTTTATTGCATTGTGGGCAGAAAAAACGTTTAATATTTTTGGTTTTCTGCATTTGTTTGTGTTTTATGCCTAATACATGGAAATTTTTTTTTGTGAAGGTACCATACACAGCTTAGAAATAGGTATACTCCCTTCTATTCCCATTCAATATTCTCCAAAGTTCTATCATATCTAACTTTCCTAAAACTATTCCTCTCCTTAATTTTTTTCTCTTTATTAGATTTATCTAGGTCTGAGAGAGGTAAATTGAGGTCCCTTGCTATTATTACTTTACTGTCTTTTTTTGTCACGAAACTCCTTTAACTTTTCCCTTAAGAATTTAGATGCTATGTCATTTAGTGTACATATGTTCAGTTTTCATATTAATTCATTGTCTATGGCACCACTCTCTCTCTCTCTCTCTCTCTCTCTCTCTCTCTCTCTCTCTCTCTATATATATATATATATATATATATATATATATATATATATATGTATGTATGTATGTATGTATATATATGCTTTCTTTTTTTCGGCAATTTTTTTTTTTGCTAGGCAATGGGGTTAAGTGACTTGCCCAGGGTCACACAGCTAGTAAGTGCTATGTGCCTGAAGCCAGATTTGAACTCAGGTCCTCCTGACTCCAAGGCCAATGCTCTATCCACTGTGCCACCTAGCTGCCCCAATATCTATATCTATATCTATATCTATATCTATATCTATATATACACATACACACACATACATTCTTATTAAACATATTTTCAGATTAGTGATGTTGTAAGTAAAAATTAGAACCAATAAGAGGAACCACCAGAAAGAGGAAACAAAACTCAACAGAAGAGAAAAAAAATAGCAAATAGTTTGCTTTGATCTGCATTCAAATTCCATAGTTCTTTCTTTGGATGTGGATAACATTTTCCATCATGAGGCCTTTGGAGTATGGCACCACTTCTTAAAGTGTGGGTTGAAAACCTGTATGGAGTTGCAAAAAAATTGACAACAGTAAAAGGTTTCCAAACGTGCAACAACCAAAAATTAATTAAAAATCAAACACGTAATGAATCTGAGGTGTTTCTGCCAGTAGTCTGACCCCAAATCCAGTGCTCTTTCCATTAAACCAAACTGCCTCTTTCATTGTTTCCTGAACCTAAGAGGAAAGCCTTCTTGATAACAGCCTTTCTGCTCTCTGTCATGAGCATATCAGCCCCAGATCCAGCCTACAGTAGAAATAGATATATGCTTGAGGTAAGGCAAAGGGACCTAGGGGCTGATCCAGGGGTAACATATGGAGTCAGAGCTGGCACCGAGGGATGTCCCAATTTAGCCAAAGGCCAGACTGAACCCCGGGCAAAGAAGGGGAACAATGTGGCCACCCACGGGCTGGGTTTTGCCCCACTCTCCTAACGTACCTCTATATTTTGAGCCCTAGCCCCATGCCCCATAATGAAAAAGCATAGAGAATGGCACCCAAGAATAACACCTAGAAGAATTCCCAGGGTCCTATCAACCAAATAAACAAGTCTGCCCCATTCCAATGCAAGGCACTGAGGGAAACATAGGAAAGTAAAACACGGCCTGCAAGAAGCTTACAAGCAAGTAGGGGAGATGTTGTTCCTATGCACAAAACAGAACACCACAAATGGTATAGAATCAATATCATAAGTATCATAGTTGACCAACTTAGAGCTGGAAGGGACAGTAGAGGCCACCTAGTCCAGACACTTGAGAGGAATGAAAAGTCCAAGAGACAGGGTTTCTGGGTAATTAATAATCAATTTATTAATTATAGCTAGCAGATAATCAATAAAATGAGATCAGTGGTTCTCTCAGAAACCAAAGATGAACCTTGGAGACCACTGAACGGTTAAATACCTTTGGAATAGGGGTTTTTCCTGATGGATGGAAATCAACTCTGATTGGTTAACAATTAATGAGAAAATGAATATCATATTGTGAGGCAGGCTTCTTCTAATGAGGGGCTAGGGTACATGACTCTGATCACGTCAGCCATGTCAGCACTCTTGGACAAAGAGACTCTTCTTCAAGCCAGACCAAGACCACTTCCACCTATGACGATCTAGACAAAAAGATCTATTCTCCATCTGGTCCTACATGTAGAACAAGGGGCTGGAATTCACCTATATTAGATTCTCCTTACCCTTCAATCAGAATAAACTCTCCCAGTGAGGTGGGGTCCCACCCAAGATGTAGGAGAATATCTCTTTGTCAGCCCTCTCCTTCACAACGACTGGGCTTTAGGAAATAGAAAGGGAAAAAACCCTAGATTCCACCTCCCTCATATTAATAATTTGTTATTAATAATCATTTCTCTCATACTTCATTGTACACATGGGGAAACAGGTCCAGAGATGTGCAATGACATGACTGAGATCACACAGTAGAAAGCATCGGAGATCAAATGTAAACCCAGTTCCTCTGCCTTTGGATTTCATGATCTTTCTGCTATATTGTCACTGCCTCAGAAAAGAGGAAGGTCAGTGGGGCTGGAATAGTCAGAAAAGGACTCTGGTCTTTGTTTTAGTTTTTTTTTAGTTTAGGGTTTTTTTTTTCAGGAAGTGAAATAGAGTTTAGCCCTGATGGATGGGTAGAGGTGATCTGTAGAAACAAAGGAGGTTCTACATCTTTCTTTTCTTATCAGGGCTGTGAAGACCCACCCCTATCCCTGCTCTCCTCTCTCCTGGCTCTCTCTCCAAGCCCTGACACTCCTCACTCTCAGTTGCTAAGTATGACAGTATTGTGCCCTAGAACCCACAGACCTCAAAGCGGTTAGATCTGGAAGGAGTCATCTAGGACAACCCCATTTCACAGATGAGGAAACTGAGGCCCCCAGAAAGGCAGGGACTTGCCCAACTTTACACAACAGGTAAGGAACAAAACAGTGAAAACTTCAGCTTGGGTTTCCCAACTCAAAGTTCAATGCTTCGTCCCCTGCCCCAATAATTCCTTGGACCATCCAAGTGCTTAAGGCTCTTCCCTCAAGCATCCCAAATAGCTTGTTGTAGCCAACTTCCTGACTCTTCGTTTATGGGGAGCCAGGAGCACAGCCAGAGCCACCTGAGTGGCCTCTTCACCTAGGGAGAGGCAGGTGTCCAACAGGGCTCGAATTCGGGCAGTCAGCGTGGAGCCGAGCAGATTGCCTCATAGTTGGCCCGAGGCAAAGCCTGGCAGGAACGTAGGGCATCCAGGGCTGCATTTAGATGACCCTCAGTGACTCTCTTCAAGAGAAACTCCCGATGAGTGGTTAGAAGTGCCTGGAGTCCTGGGAGGTGGCCAGGTCCTAAGGGGGAGAGAGGAAGGCGGTGAATGTGGATTTCAGGACAAGTGGTCCCAAGGAGGCGATGATTTGGCTCTCATGTCCACCCCCACCCCCGAGGGGCTCCTCAGCTCTCCCCTCCCTTGCAATGCTCACCTGTTCCCATGGACTTGAGGGGACTTTCAGTGGGAGAGCTGTGTCCAAGAGGCCCCAGGCCTGGGGATCCATGAGCAGGCCCCCTTCTGCCTCCTTGGAGATTGGTCATCTCAAACTAGAAAGCTAAACAGTGGGGTGGACTAGGGAAAGCCTGGAGAGACAAGGGAGAAGTAGAGTAAGGTGAGAACGTGCTTCGGAGAGAAGAGAGTTAGCGCAGCAGTCCGTAGAACGAATGAGTGAAGGAGCGTCTAAGTGTTTCCTGTGTGCTAAGTGCTGGGGATGCAAACAGCAAGACAGCCCCTTTCTCCCTCACGTCCAATGGGAGGGAGAGAATACACATAGGATGTGTCAGCAGTGTGTCAGACGGGACAATCCTTCTTCGAGATGCTTCGAGAAGCACCAAGCCGGAATATTTCTGACCTTGTATTGAACCATCCAACGTCGCCACGGGCTTTGGGGTCAAGAACTTTCTTTTCTAAGTCTTCAGAATCTACGGCTTCTTTCAGCGATTTCACAAAGAACTCACTTTGCGGAAGAGATGACTGCATGACGTGCAAAGGCAGGGGCCAGGCTGCCTCTGCACAAGGATTTCATTCTTGAGTGATGGCTCCAGGTGGGGAAGACTGGGGGGATGGGATTGAGAAAACATGGGATATAGGAGCCTCCTTTTCCCAATGTATCTGAGGGGAGGGGGAACAGAGGGTTAAGGTTCCCAGACTCCTGTAGGATACCCAAATAGGGTCTCAGAGAATTTCAGAAACAAGCAGCGTGGAGGAGGAGAGACTATAGGGAGAAGTCTACATTTGTCTCTCTCTGCTTCTCTATCTCTGCGCCACATAGCACTTTTCTCATGTTTCATTATATGCGATAACTATCTGGTTATATGTTTTAATCAGAGCTATAATCAAGAATTCTGGCATCTGGAGCAAATTCAATGGTCAGGGTGGGAGAGAGTTCAGTGAAGGATACTTCAGAATGTACCTTTGGCCAGTGGATACCAATATCACTGATGATCCCAGGTGACCCTCATGAAAATATGAAAGAGAAGTCTTCAGGCCTGGCACAACCAACGGCCCTCTTACCCTCAACACCCAATCCCTGGAAGGAGGTGTAAGGGGGGAGGGGTGGCAGCTGTCAGTGGGTGGGGTACAGGAAGTGGGCCATGGGAGTGAGGAGACCTTCAGGGTATCAGCTATAACAGCCAAGTGGAAGAATGTGAGGCAAGGCATAAATGAGACACAACACTGTTGCTTCTTCCTGTTACCTTGGGCCAAATCCCCAGCTGCCCTGCCCTGGCTTTGGCTCTGGTTTTATCCTCTGAAGGCAAAAACTAATGGGAATATGGTTGGGAATGGGGGCTGTGGAGGAGGAATGAATGAAGGGAAGAAAGAGCTAAAGATGAAGTCACCATATAGTGTTTTCAAAGACAAGTACTTTCCAGTTAAAACAGGAAAATTACAGGCATATATAGAAGCAATTTGCCTCTCACTCATAAACAGAAGACAGCAGGCATTCCATCTTTAGCTAATGGAGGGGTGGAGAGTGAGGAAGTGATCTCATGATACAAGTGCATCTTGGTTGCAGAAGAGGGATCGTGGTGATCCCTCCTGATTCCCCAGGAGGAGAAAGAAAAGAAATATTTTTGGGGGCAGGGTTATGTGGGAAAGAGAGTATTCCTGGGCTACACTCTAGTTCCTGATTTACTATAAATGACTAGATGTGCTCTGTCCTCGATGGAGGGAGAAGACAGAAAGGTCTCCCATCATTCTCAGTCCCCACTGATGTCCTGTCCTTAAATCCTCTGTAATTTAACAGCTAAGCTCTCTTCTCTACCCCTAAACAGCGTCATCGTTGCAGAGGGAGGAGGACAGGCAAATGTGCTCACATAGGATGGATGTGTTAGGAAGACTGAAGCAACCCATGAGCTTTTTGTGAATCTATATAGAACCATCCTAGAGTGACCCTCCTGACACAGTGACCTCCAGTCTCCTCTGATCAGGATCCTGAGCTTCCTTCAAAGCTCAATTCTAGAGCCCCACCTCCTACAGGAGTTATTTCCTTCTATACGCTGGCTCCATCCCCATCTGCTAATGCTCATGACTGGGTGTGTATGAATAAGGATTTCTAAAGTACCAATTCCAGGAGAGAGAGAGAGAGAGAGAGAGAGAGAGAGAGAGAGAGAGAGAGAGAGAGAGAGAGAGAGAGAGAGAGAGAGAGAGAGAGAGAGAGAGAGAGAAAGTGCTTAAATGTAACTTTTCATTCCAAGGGCTTAAAAGCAATAGAAATCATCATTCTTTTTAAAACAATCTTCCTCAATGAAACCTTGGAAATGCTGGGAAGGGGGTGGAGGATAGTGGGAAAGAAGAGCTGAATTGAGAGCCAGGAGATCTGGGTTCTAACCCAGGCTCTGCCAACTTCCTTATGTGACTTCAGACAAATCACTTCTCACTGTGCCTCGATTTCTTCCTGTCAAATAAGGGGATTGGACTTAACCTTTCTCAACCTCTTGTTGTGTCCTGGACTCTTTTGTCAGTCTGGTGAAGTCTCTGGATGGATCCCTTCTCAGAGCCATATTTTTAAATGCAAAAATAAAATGAAATACATAGGAGTATAAAGGAAAGCAATTACATTGAAATAGTTATCCAAAAAAAAAAAAGAAAGAAAAACAACTTCATGGACCCCAGGTTAAGAAGCCCTACACTAACAGATGTCTAGGGAACCTTCTTGTTCAGAAGCTGGTATGACCTCATCAGAGATCACAGAATTAGTCAGCCCCAGTGGTGTGTAAGAGCCAATTTATAATGGCTTGGGAGAGCCGACTGTTAAATTTTCAGTGTGAACATACACACCTCAGAAATAAGCAAATGCTACAAATTAGGGCTTAATTTTTTGTTATATTGCCTGTCTAGACTTAAGAAAGTGATGGAGAAAATATAAATGTTGCAGATTTAACTCAAAAATGTGTCAGGCATACATTTTTTCCCCGGGGAGCCAGGTGTTAAACATTTGCCAGCACACCAGTCACAAGTTGCTTTTACCCCATAATGCTCAGAACCAGACAAAACAAAAAACAAACAAACAAACAAAAACCAAAACAAAACTACCAAGTCCTATCTATAAGGTCATAGACGCACAGAACATTCATATTGACAGACACTTTCATGCACAGGATGTCAGAGCTGGAGGGGGCGATCTAGTTCAATACCTTCATTTTACAGACTAGATAAATGAGTCTCAGAGAAGCAAAGTGACTTGCCCAGGGTCACAGAGCTATTTAGTAACAGAGCTTCCAGCTCAAAACTCACATTCCTAGGCTCCCAGTCCAAATTCTCTTTCTACTACACCACACTGCTATTTCAAGACTCAGAATTATGAGAAAGGCTTTAGAGATCATTTATTCCAAACCCTAAATTTTAATAAGCAGGAATCTGAGGCCCAGAGTGTAGCAGCTGGTGGAGCAGCAGATAGAGAGCTGAGCCTGGAGTTAGGAAGAACTGAGTTCAAATCCTGTCTCAGATAATTACTAGCTGTGTGTTCCTGGGCAAGTCACTTAACTTGTTTGCCTCAGTTTCCTCAACTATAAAATGGGAGTTATAAGAGCATCTACCTCTCAGGGTTGTTGAAGGAATCAAACGAGATATTTGCAAAAGTGCATAGCACACTGACTGGCATATATTAGGAGCTATACAAATGCTTATTACCTTCCCCTTATAGAGGTATTAGGTGACAGAGTCAGGACTTAGAACTCCAAGTCAGTGCCATCTCCACTACACTTCAGCTCAATACAGGATTATTTTCCCTGAAAGGAGCTAGACCTAGAAAATTGGCAAAGATGACAAAAGATAGAAATGGTCCATATTGGATGAGATGTGGAAAGACAGGCACACAAATATACTGTTGGTAGAGCTATATTGATCACTATATCACTACCACTATATTGATCCAACCATCCTTGAAGGCAATTGACAATGATGCTAAAGAAATAGACTAAAATGTCCATATCCTTAGAGATCCTACTTCCAGAAGATATGCCCCAAGGAAGTCTAAGATAGAAACAGAAGTATACCCCCAAAGTGTTTACAGCAGAACCTTTTGTACTAGCAAAGAACTGAACACAAAGAGAATGCCCATCCACTGGGGAATGGCCGACCGATTTATGGTAACATAAACACAACGGGACATTTCTGTGCCCTAAGTATCCATGAACATGAAGAACACAGAAAAGGACGGGAAAACTTATCTGAACTGATGCCAAGTAAAGTAGCAAAACCAGGAACACAATAAATACAACAATTACAATATAAATGGCAAGAACAAAAAATAAATCAAAATCGTGTGATTATAATGATGAAGCTCAACCCCAAAGGAGAGAGAAAATGTACCTCCTTCCCTCCTTTGTAGAGGTAGAGGATATGGGGATGGAATACTGCATACGTGATCAAGCTCAGCTGACCGGCTGGTTAGTTTTACACTTGAACTACTTTCTTGCCTTTCTTTTTCATACAGTGTTACAAGAGATAGCTCTCTAGGGATAGAGGGGAAAGGATAATAAAAGCAAGAAATCAATAATTTTTTTAAAAGACAGGGACTAGAGTTAGTGATGGAAAGGAAGGGAGGGGAGGAGAGGATGTATCGCAAGTGTTTCGTATAAAGAAGGAACACAGAGTTCTGAGGGTGGGAACCAAAGAATAAAATATCCATCCTGACCTTACCGTTCTCTCAACCAGGGATGGAAATGGACTCACCTTCTTGTGTGAGTAGAGCCAGGGGATCAGATCGGCACCCAGAAAGAGTTAGAGAAGGAGTGGGGAGTGAGAGTGGGTGCCCAGACCCGCCCCCAGATCCTATGACTGCGGACTATGACTCATTTCCCTTGAAGGGGCCAGTTTCCTCTGGGGTGGAGCCAAAATACAGTGAGGGAAAGTATGATCCCCACAGGTTGTTACTGGAGGGGTCTGATACCCAAACCACCTAACTCCCTGGAGCCTCCCACAGCTCACAGAAATAAAGGCGCTGTCCCCGATGGAAGCCTTTTGCCCACTCTAAAGCTACGAAGCGAAGGCACTATTCTATTTGGGGGCATGTTGTACGGAGCCTGTGAGGCAGCCAGAGGGAGGAAGATGCAGCCCTCGCTTCCCCTTTCAGCTCTGCTCCGCTCCATCAATCAATCAGACAGACTCTGCCCAAGGATGGCATCCAGGGCATGCTCACGATTGGTTTCCCATGCCTTTCTCTGTTTGCCCCCACTAAAATCAACCATGGAGAGAGGACCGTAAAACACCTGCCCCGTCCCCCTCGGTCCTAGAGGAAATGACTCGGCTTTTCACTGAAACTTCCTTTGTGCCATTAGGAGGCCCCCACCTCTTCCCCTAAATATCCCTGCCCTCCCCCTCTCCATTTCATCTTGCCTGAGAACTCAGTTTCCATTTTCTCCTGCATTCCAAACTAGGACTCCCAGTTTTTGAAAGGAAGGAGTAGAGAAAGGATACCATTCTAGGACCAATAAACCAAGTCGTGTGAATGGGGGTGGAGGGGTGGGGTAGAGAAGAAAACTGGACTGGGCTGGTCCATTTCTCCTCCTCCAGCCACCCAGCTGATCCTTTCAGCCAAAAGCGTGGAGCCCAGAAGGAGGTAAACAAGGACTGGGAAATTCCCCAGACAATCACTGGGCAGCCTGGCTGGGGGAGTGTCAGATTACTCCAAAGGGATCTTTATTGTTCCAGTTTCAGCAAGAAACTGGGGGGGGGGGGAGGGAAGGACATCAGAGTTAGAATCACATTACCTGTACTGACAGTCTCTGAGCCCACCAATTTAGGGGAAGTCACTCTCTTGCATGTCTTTGATTATCTGAAAATAACTCAGGGGGAATTTTCCTAGGAGGATCCAGGAAACGGAAGGGGTAGGAGGGTCTACATAGTGACTTTGGGCATACCGGCTCCACCCACCTGGGACAATGGTATCAGAAATACTCCTCACTAGCACTGCTCACTCCTCTCCCCTGAGTTCCAGTCACCTGAGGATGGAGGAAGAGCAGAGTGGTAGGGGGTCACTATCACACACCCAGAAGCTGATTAAATGAGATCCCAAAACAAGTCTTTCTACATCTCAGATCCATTATCTGTGTATTCCCCAATTTAGCTATGGAATTTGGTTAAGGAAGTGTGTGGTGTTCCAAGGGTGCCACATTCTTCCCCAGGGGTTGGGACAGATCAAGGCCTCCAGGTATGAAGGTAAGAATGTCTAGTGTAGGAGTTCTTAACCTGGAGTCCATAAACCTGTAGGTTTTAATAATAATAATAATAGTATTTCAAAAGAATTGCTTTCCTTTGTAATCCTTTGTATTTCATGAGGAACATGTCGGCATGATCTAGTGAAAATGACCCTGGACTTGGATCCAGGTAGGCCTAAGTTCACATGTTGCCTCAGACCAATTGCATTCCAATATAATTGGTTTCCTGTGTAATCATAAATATTTTATGCATATATAAAAACATTATGGGGCAACTAGGTGGTGCAGTGAATAGAGCACCAGTCCTGGCATCAGGAGGACCTGAGTTCAAATCCGGCCTCAGACACTTGATACTTTACTGGCTGTGTGACCCTGGCCAAGTCACTTAACCCCAATTGCCTAGCCAAAATAAATAAATAAATAAAAATAAAAATATTATTCTGAAAAGGGGTTCCTAGGCTTCACCAAACTGCCAGATCTGAGATAAAAATTATCCGAGTCTCCATTGATTAGGTATTGCTCTCAATCACTGAATCAATGATGCAGAGATAGTTATCGGAAGTGTTTTATTATTCTCAGAGAGCAGGCTCATCAGTATACAGTCAGAGAGCCCACAGCATCTGCTTCAGAAACCTTATATAGAATGTGAATACATAAGTAGCATAGAAAAATAGAATTTCACAGAAGGCAGGGGAGATAAGGATATACACGCTGGAAAAAGTAACAGAAGGGGCAAGATAAGGACACCTGCCAGCTAGTCAAAAGAGGAATTGTGGCTTCCTTCCCAGCCCTAATTCTACAGGTGTTGTGACCCTCCAGCTTCCAGAAAGGGCGGCTAAGTGGCACCATAATGCATGGAGTCAGGAAGACTTCCTGAGTTCAAATATGGCCTCAGACACTTAAAGCTGTGTGACTCTGGACAAGCCACTGTTTACCTCAGTTTCCTCATCTGTAAAATAAGCAGGAAAAGGAAGTGGCAAACAGTATCTTTGCCAAAAAAAAAGTCTCAAATGGGATCACAAAGAGTCAGACAAGATGGAAATGACCAAATGACAACAAAGTTCCCAAGAACAGCATCTAGAAGATCAAAAGGGAGACTAGGGCAATATCCTCTTCTTAGCATAGTAGTGGCAAAAAGTCTGAGCTAGTTTCTTTTCCACCAAAGTCTTTCTCTGTCACAGTGGCAGCAAGAAGGCTGAGCCAGAAATTGTCTTGTCATAGGTCGATGGTACAGCAGAGGTTAAGAAGAAAACAGGCTGGGGCAGCTAGGTGGCACAGTAGATAGAGCACCGCCCTGAAGTCAGGAGGACATGAATTCAAATCCGGCCTCAGACCAATCATTTGACACTAGCTGTGTGACCCTGGGCAAGTCATTTAACCCCAATTACCTAAAAAAAAAAAAAGAAAACAGGCACTATACAGATATTTCATTTGATCCCTGGGAGACAGGTGTGTTATTATCCTTAATTTACAGTTGAAGAAACTGAGGCAAACAGAGGTTAAGTGACTTGCCCAGGGTCACACAGATAACAAATATCTAAGGCTGTATTTGAACTTAAGTGTTGCTGATTCTAGGCCAGACATTCTAACTACTGCACCACTGACCTGTGTCTGATCTACCGATTAAATAGATTCTTTTTGGCTTTGGGGGAAAGGAACTACTTGGCACATTTATCACAAGTGGAATTATATAGGAAAGACAATATAGATATCTGAGCATCATCAACCTTGAATTCTGAAACAGGCAGGCTCATCCAGCCGGGAAGATGCAAGTTAAATCAACAAGCATTAATTAATTAATTGATTGATTTGGGCTAGGCACTATGCTAAACCTGGGGATACACAGAAAAGCAAAAGACGGTCCCTGCTCTTAAAAAGCTCACAATGTCCTTGCCTTCAAGGAGTCTAATGGGAGAGACAGCGTGGAAGTATGTACAAACATGACAGATACAGGATAGACTGGGGAGTAGTCACTGAGAGCTGACATGAAGATTAAGGAGGACTGGGAAAGGTTTCTTTCAGAAGGATTGGAGCTGAAACTTGAAGGAAAACAGGGAAACTAGGAGACAGAGATGCGGGTATGGGGCAGCCGGTGAAAATGCCTAGAGGCTGGAAGAGGAGTGTCTTGTGAGAGGAACAGCAGGGAAAAGCCAGCGTCACTGGATCATAGAGTGCAGGAAGGGGAGTAAGTTATTTTTTTAAAAATTAATTTATTTTGATTTATCAACAATCACTTCCATAAGCTTTTCAGTTTAAAATTTTTCTCCCCCTCCTTCTCCACCACTCTTCCCAAAATGGCACATAATCCGATATAGGCTATACATATACATTCCTATTAAACATTTTCACAAAAGTGATATGGTAAGCAAGAATTAGAACTAATAGGAGGAACCACCAGAAAGAGGAAACAAAGCTCAACAGACGAAAAAAAAAATAGCAAATAGTATGCTTCAATCTGCATTCAAACTCCATAGTTCTTTCTTTGGATGTGGATAGCATTTTTCCATCACTAGGCCTTTGGAGATGTCTTAGATCTTTATATTACTGAGAATGGTTAAGCACAATATGGCTATTACTGTGTACAATGCTCTCCTGGTTCTGCTCACTTCACTCAGCATCAGACCATACAAGTCTTTCCAGGTTTTTTCTAAAATCTGCCTATTCATCATTTCTTATAGGACAATAGTATCCCATTACATTCATATACCACAACTTGTTCAGCCATTCCCCAATTGATGGGCATCCCCTCCATTTCCAATTCTTTGCCATCACAAAAAGAGCTGCTATGAATGTTTTTGTACATGTGGGTCCTTTTCCCATTTGTATGATCTCTTTGGGATATAACCCTATAAGTGCTATTGCTGAGTCAAGCATATACACATTTTTATAGTCCTCTGGGCATAGTTCCAAATTGCTCTCCAAAATGGTTGGAACATTTCACAAACTCCACCAACAATGCATTAGTCTTCCAGTTTTCCCACATCTTCTCCAACATTTATCATTTTTTTGTTTTGTCATCTTGGCCAGTCTGATAGGTGTGATGTGGTGCCTCAGAGTTGTTTTGATTTGCATTTCTCTAATCAATAGTGATTTAGAGTATTTTTTCATATGACTGTAGATGGCTTTAATTTCTTCATCTGAGAACTGCCTATTCATTTCCTTTGACCATTTATCAATTTGGGAATGACTTGTATTCTTATAAATTTGACTTAATTCTCTATATATTTCAGAAATGAGGCCCTATCAGAGAGACTGGTTGTAAAAATTCTTTCCCAATTTTCTACTTTCCTTCTAATGTTGGTTGCATTGGCTTTGTGCAAAAACTTCAATTTAATGTAATTAAAGTTATCCATTTTGCTTTTTGTAATGTTCTCTATCTCCTGTTTGGTCATGAATCCTTCTGTTCTCCATAAATCTGATAGGTAAACTATTCCTTGCTCTGAGAGGAGTAAGTTATAAGAAAACTAGAAAAGTAGGCCCTATGAAGGGCCAAAACAGAGGCTTTTTTTTATATTTGATCCTGGAGGTATCAGGGAACCATCGGAGTTTATTGAATAAGGTCAGCTCTGGACTTTGGGAAGATTAATTTGACAGCTGAGTAAGGATGGAATAGAATGGGGAGAGATTTGAGTGAGGGAGACCAACAGCAGGCTGTTGCAATAATCTAGGGTGGAGGTGATGAGGGCTTGCACCATGATGGTGGTGGCAGTGTCAGAGAAGGGATGTTAAGAACATAGAGAAAAAAAACTCCTTATAGAACAAGTCAATGTAGTAGCTGGCCCTGAATGATCCAATTTGCCTGTTACCCCTAGAGGAAGAAGTTTCAGCGGCCATCAGCTCAGGGTGCACATTCCTGGCACCATCCAGGATATGCCAGATTTTTAGTAGAATAAGAAAGAAATCTTAGTGGATCCTGATTGTCACTCAAGTGTGTTAGCTATCCCTTCCAGTTCATTTGCAAGTTTGATGAGTATACAATCTATTCTTTTATCCAAGTAATGAACAAAAAGGTAAAACCTGAAACTAAGATTTCTGGCTTATTCTACTAAAAATCTGGCAACATTAA